ATTCAAATTATATGACATAGATCGCAGAATCACAGTCGTTGATTCAGATTATATGACTTTCTTACATTTATTATTCTCTGTAGCTCAATGTAAACTCATATACATTTGTTACTTGATTTATCTTATTACTCACAATTTTTCATTGGCATGGAAAGTTTTTTCACCATAAAAAAGAGGGAGATTGTTGAGAAAATCTCCTAATATATTTTGAAGTTGACAAAACTATCCAAGAGTTATTATAAGTCTGACAAATACTCTTGAAGATTTTCTAAGTTCAGCAAGTCATTTTTTGGAAGTCCAGACTTTATAAGAATCAGAAAGAAAAGTCTAAGTTATACACAGCAAAAGACAAAGTTTAGACTTTGTATACAGCAGTTGAAGAATTTCAGTTTATATTGAAAACAAAAGATTCAGAAATTAAGGCTCCGTTCGTTTCGTGAAAAATGTTACGTTTCTGGAAAATGTTTTCCAGGAAGTCATTTTCTTGGAAAATGACACAAATTTCCGGTGTTCGGCTGAAATCTGAAAATGTTTTGGAAAATATTTTCCGTTGTTCGGTATGGAAAATTTTTTCTTCATTTCACTACTTTTAATAATTTTTATTTTTATTTTTTAAAAATATTTTTAATTTTTTTTTTCCTTCTTTTTCTTCCTTAGCCAGTCGCCGGCCATGGCGGCGACCGGCCAGGTCGAGCCTCGCCATAGGCCTACGAGGCTTCGGCTCGCCTGATCTGGCGAGGCCCGAGCTTGCCCAACCGGCCTTAGGCGAGCTTAGCCACGCCGAATCAAGCGAGCTCGCCGGATTTGGCGAGGCCCGAGCTCGCCCTACCGGCCTTGGGGGAGCTCGGCTGTGCTAGATTAGGCGAGTCAGAACCTCGCCACAGGCCGGCGAAGCTCGACCTGGCCTCTTGCTGCCGTGGCCGGCGATCGGCTGAGGAAGAAGAAGAAGAAGGAAAAAAAAAGAAAAAGAAAAAAAATGAATGGTGAAAGAAGGAAGGAGGGAAAACATTTTCCTTTTCTCAAAAAGAGGAAGTCATTTTCCTCAAAAGTGAAGGTGTTTTGCCCATGGGGGGAAAATGTTTTCTGTGGGAAGTTATTTTTCGTGAAACAAACACCGGAAAACATTTTCACGGAAGTTTTTTTTCCGTGAAACGAACGGAGCCTAAAGAACAAACCATTCTGACTCAAGCTCTGATGAACGAGATAAGGATTAGACTTTATCCAGATGCTATCGCAAACTCAGAACAACAGGTAGTAATCTGACTTGAATTTCACCATTGGAAAATATTGATTGATTCGATCTTAAAAGGTTACTTTGCAAAGAATATTTACATCGTGAAATATCCTTGATTGATTGATGTTGACACCTAAATTTCGATCGACCATTTAATGATAATTTGCATAGAACATTAGGGATTAAATTTTAACCCTTAAACAAAACTATTAAAATTGCATAGCATATAGTTTAAGTTCATATAGGTTAGTTGCATTCCGTATCGGACTGGCGGTGGCGAGTAAGCTGAAAATTCATCGCGTAAATCGAGCTCGAGCACTCGGCTCACTCAAGGGATTGGGGGCCAAAATTCACAAGTCTAAAAGGCTTTGGTTGTTTTAATTTGAGCTTAAATCAGCCCGAATTAATTTAGCCCATTTGGAATTAAAATAAAATAAAATGATAAAGCCTAAGTCTAAACCCATTAGGACTAGGAAGCCCGGTTAATTAACCTAGATTGCAATATAAATATGTGATTATACCCTTCAATGGGGGGCTCTGATAATTTTTAGAACGCAATTCTTGAGAGCACGAGAGACACACGTGAGGAATAGCGAGAGAGAGAGTAGGAGCACGACCGATATACATAAGACAAAAAGCTCTCTGTTGGTCTTTCTTGGTGGAAACACCCCCCAGACGTTCAAACGTGGCTACCTGATCTTGATCCACCAATGACGATGGCTGCCGCTTCCTCCTCCATTGCCGACGTTGCTGCTTCCTTGCCGTGAGACGCGATCTGGCGCTTCCCCCCTACTGCGAGGCTGTCGCCTTGTTTTGACGGCTTATATTGCCTCCCCGCTCTATTCCTGCACGGATCGGCAGCACTCATCGACGGTGTTCAGCTGCGGCGCAATCTCCTCCGACAACGAAGCAGTCAGCCGTGAGCATCAACGACGACCTGTTGCTTATCTGCTACAGCGTCGTGGATCACTTGGACAACATGCTCTGCCCGACCGAAAAGAGACGGCCGCAGTTTTAAAGGAGGGATCGTTAACATACGGAGAGAAGAAAAGAACAGAAAGGGGCTCTCGATTCTTCATAGAAATTCCATCCTTAACATCCCATCATTATTTTTGTTTTATCTTCTCTGATCTCATGCCCTCGTGAGCACTTGAAAATAAAAATAAAAACAAAAGATGGAGGAGCCAATGGCAAGCACGACATATGTCAAATTAGAGAGCTTGAAGTGGTTCCTTTGATTGTGTCTAGGTTTGGCAAAGCAAGTCAGCAAGCATCGGCACATCTTCAGTCCACCAATAGCAACAAGATCAACGAGTTCACTGCAACTTATTTATACGGCCGAAGTTGAGCTTAATTTTGCAGGTTTCCCCAAGTGTTGTCGAACCAAGAAACCATCCTCGGTCCCTCCTTGGCTGAGCTCGTCGAGAACCACCGCCGAAGGCCGTCCCGTGATCCGATCCCGATCCACCGCGAATTCGAATTTGGGAATTATCCGCCAATTAGGTAAGATTATCCGAATATTTCTTTTAAATATTTAATTTTCTAGTTTTCGGATAATTGAGATATTTCGTGAATATTTTGGTGGATAGCTAGATATTTTAGAATAATTTTGTGATATCCGCAACATTCGAAAATACCCAAAATTAGGAATTATTCCTAATTTGGCAACGTATCTGGACAACTATCCGACCTTATCCCTAAAGTACAATATGCGGCGATACGGAAAAATCGTTATCTTATCCATAATCACTTGGATGCGATAACAGATTTTATCTGCTTTCCAAATTCGAACAATCGGCTTTCCGTTGATATCTATAGCCCTATAGATATGACCGTTAGTTTGATTTCCTTTCCTAATTCAAATTTGATAAGAAGAATCTTGCGGATTGCGTGGATTGTTTGAGTGCGTTTGTTATCTTTGTTTGTTTGCTTTCCTTTTAAATAAAGAAAATCCAAAAATATGTTAGTTAGCATTTAAATTGGAAGTTTTGCATGTTTAGAGAATCCTAAATGTATCTAGAAGATAGGATAATTATTTAATTTAAATTCGGACTTAAGATAATTTATTTCCTAGTTTAAATTAGGTGTTATTCTAATCCTCATAGATTATTTAGGTTATTTTTAGATTCCGAATTTTCATGAAAATCCCCAAAAAAGAATGAATTAGATTAGGATAGATTGCATTCTTAATTAGAGTTTTTTTAATTTCGAATTTAAATAAAAATACCAAAAATATTGCTCTAGAATAGATTAATTTGTTTCTTCAATTAAACATTGCATGCTTAGGTAATAAGTATTTTTAATTCTGAATTTCATTGGAAAAATACCAAAAATAAATCATTTGTCCATCATTAGAATTAGGTCACATCATCGCATTACATATAGTTCGTATGCTAGGTTGCATTAATCGCATGTCATTTTTTTTTGCACGTCATTGCATATATGTTAGTTTGCATTTTAATAAAGCGCAAACCCTAAAAAACACTTTGAGTGCCTTGCTTTGTTAATTAGAAATCATATTAGGATTGTCTGTATGATTTTCTACTAACAATGCAGATGGTTGCGTTGCTTTAAGGTACGTCATTCTCCTAATCTTGCAATCTATTTATTGCTTTCTTGGATGTTAAATTGGTGGTTTGCGCACTCGCATGAACACCTTACATGTTAGTAATTAGGTAATAAAATGGATCCAGACTGCCTGTATAAACATTTTTTGAAAAGAAAAGGTACCAAAAGAGCGTTAGACTAGATCTAGCGTAATCAAGTCCCCGAGCTTAGAATCTCTGGTTCGTAGGAATAAAACATATCTCCCTATGTTTTATTTAGGTTTCTAATCGACCTACCATAAATAGATTAGTGGCGACTCTAAGCATGAAAACTTTTGCATGTTAAAAAAAAAAAAAACTTAAACCCTAAGTCGCGAATTGGTAGGACTTGGGAGGGCCGGAGTTAGGTTTAGTCTTAATAATCCATTAGCTTGAGAAATTTAGGTCACGACAATTGACAATCATCCCCACGACAAGTTTATTTCCGAAAGAAGAAGCTCTGCTTATGGAAACCGAAGTTTTGGTTATATGGGCGACCAGATTCAGTGGGATTCAGACTTTGTCACTCAACGGCTACTCAATCCACCACTATACATTTGTGTGCATATTTTCTCTTTCCTAAAACTCCTTTTATTGCACATTTATTTGTTTGCCATTTAAAAATTGATCAAAATCCGAACATTGTTCAGACTTTACCTGAGATCAATTACTTCCGCATTAAAATTGATCAATTAGCATTCAAATCACCTATTCACCCAATTCTAGGTAATATTTGCTAGTCTCATCAAACTGCCCCAACTATTATTAGCGAGGGAAATTCCTATGGACAGTATCTCACCAAAGAATCAGTTCAGAAAACCTGTCATAAGATCTCGGAACCACATTGCTGTGTCTGGGGACTGTTCATCCCGTCTTTAAAGTTATGCACTTGTTTGTTTTGTTTAGAAGAAGAAATTTTTTTTTAGTTGTGCAAGCATGGTCTTATGTGAATTGTTGGATCGGCCGGATTGGAGGGTCACATTATCATGCAACTCTAATCCCCAAAAGAAAAACCTGAACCCATTATAAGTAGAAGAAATAAAGCTTGTAAATATCTCAACTCTCATCCAACGATATTACCACGAACAATAAGTGACATGATCCTATATATTGATTTCAAAATTAGCGTTGAAATGAGGTTAGTATATCCATTCTGACGACAGTAATACAGATAAAAAAATTTACACGTACCCCTTGTGATCGTGGCACAACGGGCAAGAAGCATTCCGCCCGAGCCACTCATCGATGCACTGCGCATGGAAGTAGTGTCCACACTTGGGAATGGTCCGGAGTGTCTCCTTGGGCTGGTATTCCGACAAGCAAATTGCGCAAATATTGTCGTCCGGCCTAGGTACCCGTCCATCATCATCGACTTGAATCTTCGGATAAGATTCTATTGTGACTGAAGCGATGCCCGTGACACCATTAGAGGCGCGTCGAGTTTCTCTTGAGGGGCGTGAGGGAGACATGATATTTGCAATGTTGTTTTCGCTGTTGTTGCCATGAGGAGGTCGATCGCGAGGATCACGATGCACGGAGACTCGAGCGCGCGACCTTAGGTAGGACGCAAGCCCGGACATGCAAAGAAGCAAGGGCAACAGGACGCCGAGGAGTATCCCCAACTTGGCACGCTTTGAAAGCCCTACATGAGGAATTGATTATCTGAGGGGTAGGAGTTGGAAAAACAAATACCAAAGTACCAATGACAAGAGAAGTCCATTAACCCAACTGCCATTAAAATGACAAGCGCAGAGATTCAATGAAATTTCCAAAAACGATCATATCAATGAATGTTCTAAAAGCACTGATTCAAATACCTAAATAATAAAGATATAAGTTATTGTTTTCAGGTAGAAACTAGCGAATCTAAGTACGTACCATGTTTACCGAAGCATCCAACATGGGAGCCCGCGGAACCCTTGAACCCGCACCTCCCACCACTCTTCTCGCACGATGTACAATCCGGCGCATTCCACTTCAGGACAACACTCTTAGTTATATCTGTGGGATATTGCCGGGCCACCGGAACCGACACTGTCCAAGTACGACAGTGGAAATGCGAGTAGTACCAAGTGAATGAACCCGCAGGAGCAACCAGTACCGTGTGCTTTTCATTGCTGAGGCAGTCCACCCGTTCGATTCCTAGAAATGACAAATTAAGCGAGCAATCCGCAAACGTGAAGCTCCCATGCTCTTGCGCCTCGAAAGCCGAGCCCGAAAACATTGAGTTTTGAAGCCGCTTCGCTAGGCAGTTGCCCCGGTCCTTGAGCACGACGTATTGTTCGTATAGTCGATGAGGTCAACGACGAAATCTTGCGAGTTAGGCAATTGGAGGATCGCTTGGCCAAGGATGTTGCACGAGAGATCGAAGCCCGGAAAGCCACATCGCTTGGGATGGGAGTCTCTTGCTTGGAAAGGGAAGCGAATCTCAGGTCCGTGAGGATCGCAAAACTTTACCGGACATATATTGTTGGGGTTATTAGCGTATACATGGAGAGAGAGGATGAGGAAGAAAGAGATGAAGATGACAGAGGAAGCCATGAGAGGCACATACCGAAGATACCTAGAGATTGTACTTAGTAATGCATGTTTCTTATCTCTTTTTCCTAAAGAAAGATTCCAAGTCCTTTTCATAGAGAGATTATTGATATCTTAATTATCTTCTCAAGGATATAAAATTAAAATGTGCCTTAGTCAATTTAGCCGGCCAAATGGATGTGGATATGTAGGTCCTCAGAAAGGCATATTTTGATATAATGATAGGGAAAAGGCGAAATTACATGTCGATCGACTTATATTGTTGGGTTCCATGAGGACAAGCTCATAAAGACAATTACTTGGGATGATGATCCATTTGCCCCTTTCCTCTTCTCTTGAACAAATATTTGTGCTTGCCTGGTCCGTGATGACCAGCTCAATCACGTTCATTAATCATCTGAGCCTCACATGGGTTTACAACATTGACGGGTTGTGATTGAACCCGGTTCACAAGGGATGGTCCATGATCCCGGCATGTAATTGAGACAACCCCACTCCATATGCATTAATTTGCATCGATTCGATTTTGGCCTACCGTATGGAAGCATAGTTTATATATGGAGGATACTTGTGATGTGTCGAAGTAATGTGTCAATCGTTTTCATTAAAAAGAAAATTGATAAATATACAATTTTCAAATAAAAATATCTCCCTAATCTTATATCTGCAACTTCAACAATCAAATTTTATTTTTCACATGTTTAATCTTTTTCCAGATTTTTTCAGATAGATTTTGCTCGTTGAGTATGTTTGCTCATCTCAGCCAATCACGTTGTGAGAAGCGCTATCATAGGAACAGTGGCAGGGCCGCCGCTATTCCTATTTGAAAAAAATCAAGTCTTCATTTTTTTTCTGTTAATTTTTCAATTTTTTTTTCTTACTGCGGGATGTGGAAGAAATTAATCGAATCAGGGCCTTTTGCAACTCTAGGTTGGATGATATTTTCCAGAGTTGTATACTTTCAATAACTTGTAATCACAGAACCAAAAGGCCTACAAACTCAAAAGGAAAAGAAAAATGAACATTATTTTGACCATTTGGGTATTATTCTCAAAATTGAGTTTAATTGACTCGACGTGTCAAAGTGTCAATATACACGTTTTTATATATTTTACTACTAATGGGCCGTGAATGTAGCTAGTAATTGCTTCAGAAAAAGTTGGCAAGCAACGCAATAAAAATGGTTTCTCAATAGAAAAACTGATAAATTAACAAAAATAGATAAATGTTGGAAATAAGCAACTCAAATGATTGCTGGTAATGCGGAATAGCCCGTAACTTAATCGGAGAAAAGTGCTGTCACTTAAATAAGCAACATTGTGCTACGAGTGCATGAAAGCGACATGTTTGTCATACGCACAAAATCGTCATTGATGTGATGGAATTCAGGTACAAAATTACAGTGTGATGTATAAGCTAAACTCCACTAGCTTGAAATAGCCCGTCCTGAAAGAGGGGTGAATGTGCATATCGCTTTCGGCAATTCTCTAATCGCACATTGCTTAATGTTTTCTTCTTGACGGAACCGGCGCATTAACCGGAACGTATCTCAAACAAAAGTTAATGGTCAGTCCAAAAGGATGCGATGCATGATCTAAGTACTTAAGGCGCAAAATGCAGATGGTAGAGCAAGCTGAAGAGCAAAGGTGTGATAAATATGAATCAATTGAATTTGTTGAATCACAGTCCTTTAGGTGCCACCGCAAAGTCTACCCACAGTTACGACAATACACATGTACAATCATTAATTTCAATGCATATATACTTACGCTGCGTGAGGAGATGAACTTCCAAAAGAGGAAACTGCCCAAGAGCTGTGTTTTACCATGTTCCTCTACAATCTACATGGTAATTTACTTTCATCTGCTTGCTGTCATCGAATCGGAGGACCTGCATGACCCACAGAGATTGTTATGATATAATTGTATAGAACTATTGCCAAATTACTGATAAGAAAGCTAAGTTTAATCAATAAACTCAAGACATCGAAGTTTCAGAATTAGCCACTACTTTGCCAACAAAATGAGCTCATCATTCAAAGCAGCACTACTTAAAAAGGGATTGCAGGCGACGGCTTCTAGTGGAGCTTGAAAAACTTCCCCGACTATTGTTAGCGACGGAAATTTTGTGTGCAGAGGTCCTAGCACACAACATAAACTAATCTCGGAACCACATTGCCGTGTCTGGGGACTGTTCATCCCGTCCCTAAAGTTATGCACTTGTTTGTTTTGTTTAGAAGAAGAAAATTTTGTTTAGTGGTGCAAGCAAGGTTTTTATGTGAATTGTTGGATCGGCCGGATTGTAGGGTCACATTATCATGCAACTCTAATCCCCAAAAGAAAAACCTGAACCCATTTTTAGTAGAAGAAATAAGCTTGGGGATATCTCGACTCTCATGGGACAATATTACAACGTACAATAATCGACATGATCCTACATATCGATTTCAAAATTAGTAGTCAAATGAGCTTAATATATCCATTTTATTCGAGGTTAACTATAGAAAAAAATTTACACATACCCCTTGTTATCTCGGCACAATGGGCAAGAAGCGTTCCGCCCGAGCCACTGATCGATGCACTGTGCATGGAAGTAGTGTCCACACTTGGGGATGGTCCGAAGCATCTCCTTGGGCTGGTACTCCGACAAGCAAATCGCGCAAATATTGTCGTTCGGCCTAGGCACCTGTCCATCATCATCTACTTCAATTGTTGGATAAGATTCTATCGTGGCTAAATCGATGCCTGTGACGCCATCAGAGGCGCGTCGAGTTTCTCTCGAGGGGCTTGAAGGAGATGTGATATTTGCAACGTTGTTCTCGCCGTTGCTGCCATTAGGAGGTTGATCGCGAGGATCACGATGCCCGGAGAGTTGAGCGCGTGAGCTTAGGTAGAACGCGAGTCCAGACATGCAAAGAAGCGAGGGCACGCCGAGGATTATGCCCAACTTGGCATGCTTTGAAAGCCCTACATGATTAATTGATTATTTGTGGGGTAAGAGTTGTAAAAATAAATACGGACGTATCAATGACAAGAGAAGTCCATTAACCCAAATACCATTAAAATGACAAGAGCAGCGATTCAATGAAATTAATGAAAACCATTTTATCAATGAATGTTCTAAAAGGGGAAAATTGTCTAAAAAGCCCTAATTCCATTGTACGGCGTCCAATTTAGTCATAAACCTTTTAATTGCGCCAATTTAATTCTAAACCTATTGTATGGCAGCCAATTCAGTTCTAAACCTTTCAATTATGCCAATTTAGTCCTAAACATTATGACGATTTGTAAATTTAGTTATAAGCCTTTTAACGATTTGCTAATATAGTCCTTTAGCATTTCCGGCCAAAATTAACCGAAAGGATTACATTGGCAAATTATTATATGGTTTAGGATTAATTTGGCAAATTGTCAAAATGTTTAAGACTAAATGACACAATTGAAAGGTTTAAGACTAAATTGGCCGCCGTACAATAGGTTTAAGACTAAATTGACACTATTGAAAGGTTTATAACTGAATTGGCCGCCGCACAATAGGTTTAAGACGTTTTGGACAATTATCTTGCTCTAAAAGCACCTATTCAAATAATCGCTTATGTTGCTTGATATGAATAGTCAATGAAAAATGTTTTCATTATCGATAATAATTTATGTCCAAACAATCTCGTAGACAATGAAATATTTTCCGTTCATTCATTTTTGTGAGTAATATAGGCGGCCATGTTTAGGAAAATATTTTCCAAATCATTTCTTTTTCATGGAACAAGCGGAGCCTAAAGATAAGTTATTATGTTCAGGCAGAAACTAGCAAATCTAGGTACGTACCGTGTTTACCGAAGCAACCAACATCGAAGCTCGCATAACCCTTGAACCCGCACCTCCCGCCAGTTTTCTCGCACGATCTACAGTCCGGCATATCCCACTTCAGGACTACACTCTCAGTTATATCTGTGGGATATCGCTGCGCCACCGGAACCAATACTAATTTAGTACGGCATTGGAACCTCGAGAAGTACCAAGAGAATGAACCGGAAGGAGCAACCACTACCGTGCGGCGTCCATCGCTAAGGCAGCCCACCCGTTCGTTCCCGAAAACCGATAAATTACCCGAGCAATTCGCAAACGTGAAGTACCCATACTCTTGCGCCACGAAAACCGATCCTGAAAGTGTCAAGCTTCGAAGCCGCTTCGCCAGGCAGTTGCTCGGATCCTTGAGCATGACATATTGATTCTCGTAATCGATGAGGTCGACGACGAAGTCTTGCGAGCCGGGCAATTGGAGGATCGCTTGGCCTCGGATGTTGCACGAGAGATCAAAGCCCGGATAGCCACATCGCTCATGATGGAAGTCGCTTGCTCGGAAAGGGAAGCGGATCTCGGGTCCGAGAGGATTGCAAACTCTTACCGGACATATATGGTCGGGGTTCTTAGCGGATACATGGAGAGAGAGGCCGAGGAAGAAAGAGATGAAGATGGCAGAGGAAGCCATCAGAGGCACGGACCGAAGATGCCTTGGGGTTGCACTTAGGTAAGTTTCTTCTCTCTCTCTCTTTCCTAAATTAAGATAGGTTCATGTCCTTTTCAGAGAGAGATTATTAAAATCCGATGCATCTCTCAAGGATACAAACATAGAATGGGCCTTAGTTAATTTAGCCGGCCAAATGGATGTGCATATGTAGGTCCAAAGAAAGGGAAAAGGCGAAATTTCTAGGTCAATTGCATTTTGTTGTCTGGTTCCATTTGCTCTTCCCCTCGTCTCTTGAGCAAATATTTGTGCTGACTCGGTCAATGATGACTAGATCAATCATATCCGTTAAATCATCTGAGTTTCACGCGAGTTTACAGCATCGAGGGGTTGGGATTAAACCTAGTTCACAAGGATGGTCCATGATCCAAGTAGGTATTCCCGAATCGAGACAACCCAACGCCGTATGCATTAATTTACATTGACATGATTTTGGCCCAATGTATGGAAGCATGGTTTACATACGGAGGACACTAGTCGAAGTAATGTGTAAATCTTTTTGATGGAAAAAGAAGGATCACGCTTTTTCCACTCCCAATATAGCTAAAACACTCCCTATTATAATATTTTGACAATATTAGCCTTCATGGATCCCAACATTTTTATGTATTCTTCATTTACTTTTTTTTCTTTCTCTTATCTCGCAGGTCCACTTTCCTTTTTCTCATTTATTTCTCTTTGTACTCTCTCTTTCTAAAACATCCCTTTCATGTCAATAATCTGTTTTGAAGTTCAAATTTGCAAAAACCTCCTCCTCACCCTACTAGTCCTCTTCCATCTCCATTTCTTCAACTCAAAGCTCAACTGTAAGTAAAAAATCCATCTCACATCTGTACACTCCCATTCCATCCCTTTCACTTTGTGTCATTCATTATCTCATTTCGCATCAAACTCTTTGATCGATCGATCATGAAGACAAGAAAAAAAAACCCCATTAAAGATTCAAATCAAGGGGTTGAAGCTCTGCCCAAAACCTCATCAAGCTCATCAGAAATGTCTGCTTCTTCGTCTTTGTCTTCTTGGTCATAATTGTCACCTTCATTATCGATTCGCCATCACCTACCAGCCTTCAGATATATGGCTCGAATCTTTCCTCTCATCTCACTAAGTTGTTTATGCAAACCGAAAATGCGATCGACAAGGATTTGCCCCTCCTTGCCCTCGCGATCTCTCTAACTTTCGCGCCCATCTCAATTACTGAGCTGTCGTCGCCGGTGCTTAAGAGGACTGAAGAGGTGATTGTGAACTCAACTCTCAAGTTCGAGCCCTCATGCGATGAACCACCATCAATTGTTCAAATCCCTGTGTTTTGATAGGCGTTGAGTTCAATGCGGGAGCCTTTAGGTCTATTGTGTTAGTGGGTATCAAACTCCGGTTAACGATTGAAAAATTGATGAGTGCGACGTGGCGTGGACGACAAGTGACACAGACTAACCACAAAAGAGAGAAGTATTGAACGACGTGGCGTGGACGACAGGTTAACTACAAGCGACGTGGCGTGGACGACGTGGCGTGGACGACAGGTTAACTATTGTGTTCTTTTTTCTTTTCTTTTTTTCGACAGATACCACCAAGGCTTGAACCATGATCAAAATTAAGTAAGAATGGAGAGAAGTAAAGAAGAATGAGGAAAATGGGGCCCACAAAGAAAAAATAAAGAAGAAAACAAATGGGACACTACAACCAAGCAAAAAAGGAAGTTTAAAAAAGATGGGACCCATAAAGGTTAAAATTGTCAAAATATTATGATAGAAAGTGTTTTAGCCATGGTAGGAGTGGAAAAAGCGCGGCCCAAAAAGAATCCGATAAATGTTTCTATAATCTAAATGCTAAATAAATAAATCTCCCTAATCTTATATCTACAGCTTCAACAATCGAATCCAGTTTCTGAAATGATTCATATCTTCAAAGTTTCATTTTTCACATGTTTAATCTTTGGGCGGCGCTATCTCCACCCCTATTTTGGCTAAGGCAATCTGTTTTTTTCAATTAACTTACCAAAATACCCTATTCTCTCTTCAATTTATTGTTTCTCTTTTTTTTTATCTGGCTAAGCGACAATGTTACTTTTATTTCTATCACCTCTCTCATTAGTTTCACTATACAAATGCTCCGCTATACCCGACAAGATGTCATTTTACCATGCATCTTTTTATTACTTTGCCTTGATGATGTTGTTAATTTTAATTTATGGTCTCATATTTTCAATCACAAGAAATTTCTATTTATGACAGCTTATGATCACACATTTAATTGCCCTTTTTTTTTCAAATAGTGTGAGCGAAACTATATTTCAAAGTCGAAAATTTAAATTTAATTTAATTAAAATTAACAACCTTCTCCATGCAAAGTGATAACAGGATGCAGGACAAGATAATATCTTGTTGCGTGTAGTTTGACATTTATATTGTGAAATTGATAAGATAAGAGAGATAACAGAAATAAAGACAGTTTTGTTGGTTAGCTTGATAAAAAAGAGGATAAATAAATTGAAGAGAACGAATGGTATTTTGATCAATTGATTGAAAAATGAGTGTCTCAACCAAAATAGGAGTGAAAATAACGCTTCCCATGAGGGGCTACCATTTATTAGTCCAATATAATTATACGAATATGGGATAGATTCAACTCGTTAAGCATGTCATTTCGGCCCATCGAAGACCAATCACACCTTGTGAGAAGAACTATCATAGGAATAGTAGTAGGGCTGCCGCTTTTCCTATTTGACAAGTACCGAGTCTTTATTAATTTATTAATTTTGTTACTTTTCAGTTATTTTCTTACTGCATTATATGGGAGAAATTAATCGAATTCGGGCTTTTTTGCACCTCTAGGTTGGATGATTATTTCCAAGTTATATCTAAATTTATCCCACAAACTCTTGCCACATATGTATTTGTTACATGTTTGCTCATTGTCCCAAAACAAAAGGGTGCATTATATATATATATATATATATATATATATATATATATATATATATATATATATGTTGACACCTAAATTTTGACTAACCATTTAGTGATTAATTACATAGAAAATTAGGGATTAAATTTTAACCCCTAAATAAAAATATTAAAATCGCATATCATATAGTTTAGGATCATATAGTTTAATTGCATTCAACATCGGACTGGCGGTGGCGAGTAAGCTGAAAATTCATCCCATAAACCGAGCTCGAGCACTCGGTTCACTCAAGGGATTGGGGGGCCCAAATTCACAAGTCTAAAAGGCTTTGGTTGTTTTAATTTGAGCTTAAATCAGCCCGAATTAATTTATCCCATTTGGAATTAAAATAAAATTAAATGATAAAGCCTAAGTCTAAGCCCATTAGGACTAGGAAGCCCGGTTAATTAACCTAGGGTTGCGATATAAATATGTCGTTATGCGTCATAATCAAGAGGGGGGCTCGGATAATTTTTAGAGATCAGAATTTTCAGAGAAAGCGAGAAACACGCATGAGATTAAGAGTAAGAAGAGAAGACGGCTGCACATGCAACGCTGTTATCGCCCGCGCCGTCCTGCCATCGCTACCACGCCGCTCCTGAGCTGGGGTCACAACGCCGCCATCTTGCTGCTGCTCTTCTATGACGCCCCTGTACAGCGGCTAGTTCCTTGTTGTGTCTCTACCACAACACTGACGCCTAGATCAACAAGCTGCTACACGTATTGTGACGATGAAGCCATCGTGATCCTGCGCCGAGAAACTCGCAGCTGCTCCTTCCCGTGATCGACGACGTTGCTGCCCTTGCGCACACCAAGCGCCCCTTTGTGCTCTCCATGATAAATTGTTCTTCTGCCTTTGCGGGTTTAAAGAAAATTCCAAGCGGTGGTCAAAAGAGCTTTAGTGGAAGTTGGATTAAAGAATTCACTTGGAGGTCTTCTTTTGAGAACCGACACAGAGAATAACGACGCCCACAGGAGTTCTTTTTCCATGATACGTTGAGGAAAAAGTTCTCTCTTTTCCTCATCGACTTCTCAATTCATGCGCTTGTTTCACCGATATTTGCAGATTCTTGGTCGTGTTCAACAACACCAACGTAGCCCCCACTGAGCAGAGAGTCTACACGACCAAGGCATCATCACGCTCAGCCTTGCTGTGCACCACCGCTGTCGGTCACCGTCCCGATCCGCAATCCCGAGGCCGATCCAAGTTCGAATTGGAAATATCCACAAATTAGGTAAGATTCTCATCTATAGTCTTAGAATATTCAATTTCCTAATCTTTCGGGTGTTTAGATATTTCGTAAATATTTTGGTGGATAGCTATATATCTTAGGATAATTTTGTGATATCCGCAATATTCGAAAACACCCAAAAATTAGGAATCATTCCTAATTTAGCAACGTATCTGGACGACTATCCGACCTTATCCCTAAGGTACGATACGCGGCGATACGGAAAATCGTTATCTTATCCATAATCACTTGGATATGATAATAGATTTTATTTGCTTTCCAAATTTGAACAATCAGCTTTCCGTCGATATCTATAGCCTTATAGATATGACCGTTAGTTTGATTTCTTTGCCTTATATGAATTTGAAAAAATCTTGCGGATTGCGTGAATTGTTTGAATGTGATTGTTATCTTCGTTTGATTGTTTTCCTTTTAAATAAAGAAAATCCAAAAAATATGTTAGTTAGAATTTAAATTAAAAGTTTTGCATGCTTAGAGAGTCTTAAATATATCCAAGAGAGTAAGATAATTATTTGATTTAAATTGGGATTTAGAGTAGCATATTTCCTAGTTTAAATTAGAAATTATTTTAATCTTTGTGGATTATTTAGGATATTTAGATTTCGAATTTCCATGAAAATCCCAAAAAAATGAGTCACTTTAGGACAGATTAAGATAGATTGCATGTTAATTTAGACATTTTTTTATTTCGAATTTCATTGGAAAAATACCAAAAATAAATCATTTGTCCGTCATTAGAATTAGGTCACGTCGTCGCATGACATATAGTTTGCATGTTAGGCTGCATTAATCGCATGCTAATTTTTGCACGTCATTACATATAGGTTAGCTTTCATTTAAATAAGTGAAAACCCTAAAAAATGTTTAGTGAAC